CCAAAACCATAGCCCTCATCTCCTACCCCAAATCATCATGAGAGAGGAAGAAAGAGGAGCAGTCGGGGGTGGTGGCTGTGGTGGCGGGACAGGTGGTGGCTCAACCATATCCCTATCCCTTGCTGTAACACCTCTAACCCAATTTAATCGTTTTATTCAATTTATGTAATTATGTAATTATGAAATTACAATTTTGCTCTTTGGGTATAGGGTCACTTTGGTCACTTTTTGATCTGGAATGATTTTGGAGAATTGAGTGCACAGTTACATAGAGCTCGTCGATATGAGTCCGTAGACAGGCGGCACGCTCAATTCCGAGTTGTAATGAACATTTAAAGGCCTACAAACAAAAAGGACGAAATTTTAAATTTTAAATTTGTTACTGTAGAAAACTATACCGTTACAGTATGTTTGGTACAGTACCCAAGCCAACTCTATTTCTCTTCATTTTCTTTCCCCGCGTGCTCTCTCTCCTTCTCCAACTCTGGCCACCATTTCAGGCAAGACTGGTCCCAAAATCTTCGTATCTTCGTCTTCTACCTAACCAGACCATTTCCCAACTCAAAAACCCAAGGATTCGCGGCTGGAACGACTGGAAGTATAGGCGATTTTTTAAGTTTTAGATGCCATTTTCGGTGACTCTGGCCACCATTTTTGTCGAGTGAGATATGAAACTTCATCTACTCTTCGTAAACTATCCATTTATGTAGGTATTGTAGATCGATTTTGAGGTTTTAGAGATCGTTCAAAACACCCACTTAGGGCTCACGGTATGGGTTCATTCCTACAAGTTCTGACTAGTTTTTGGCCATGATCCAAGAACAAAAATTACACCCCTTGTTAGTTTGAACGTATCGGTATAGGTATTGTAGGGTGTTTTAGAAAATTTTCTGTTACCGAAATTTTTTCAAGCCACACACGTGTTGCCGGCACTTGTTCCCCTTGTCGTCCCGAGCGCGACGGGATGCTCATATTCAAATTTGGTTGTCGTATGATAGTTAAACGGATGTACGCCTATTAGACGATATCCGGGTTTGATAGGTTCGGACCGTTGGATCGATTCCAACTTTAAATATGTCGTTCCTTGTGCCTCTAGGATCATGTAGGAATTCGCGGATCGAGAATCGAAGTCCCGGATGTTAGATATATGCCCTAGAAGCCAATATAAAATGGATAATTCTAATAAAATAATATATAATAATCAAAGGGGCAAGAACATTGCTTTAAATACATAACGTACACAAAGTAACAAGTCCATGGATTAAGATATAAATGGAAAGTTGTCTAAAGAAGTTAGATGCATGAGACCTTTCCATACACATAAATATCGTATCCTAAAATGTTCCTGGTCATAGGATCACCAATTTGACAATGGTGACCCGTAAAGACTGGTACACATTATGTCTGCTCAATTGGGAGGATGACTAGTCTCAAGTCACTCGTGTACAGACACTGAGATAGATGTGTAGGTGCTCTATAGAAGATGGATCCCACTGAACGCAATCAACTCTAGAATTCTTGTATGAAAGTCTTACTCACAAGTGTCAAACAAAGAATTCTAAGTTGTGATAATGCAAATTAATCCTTAGACCTGAGACATCACAGTTGTCTTGTGTATATGTTGTTTCTCTTTTGCACTATACGGTCATATCAAAATGATGTGACTTAAAGGTGTTCCTCAGGATTCTCAACGTGTATGCAAAGATAGGTGAATGTACAACAAGGGATCTCTGCTCTTAGTAAGAAGAGAGAATACTTTAAAGATATGATTCGTGAATCTTTGGCCAAAGTATTTGATGGAAATTGAAACAAGCACGTTTGCAATTTCATCAAATTGAATCATATAATCTAGAGATGTTATATTAGAGATTTTGACACAAGTTTACCATATCCCGAGAATATGACATAGACTATTGAATTAGAGAAGGATCGAATTGCATTGTAATCACAAACTAACTAGGGAGAATTATATGGAGGGATACAATTCACACTTAATTCAGAGTGAATCATTCATACCCACTGCCTCTCTAATTAGAATGTTTAAGATCGTACACCGAAAAGGAATCGATTGGGAAATTATTAAGAGAATGAATGATTTTATGACTTGGTCAAAGTTCATGTGAAAGTCCAAGGTCAAAGGTCAAACGGTTGACTCGACACTTGACACGGTCAACTAAGGATGACCGCAACCAAGATTCGTTAGACAAGTGAGTGATTGAATTAGTCAAGTCACTAGAGTAATTAAATTGATTAGATTAATTTAATTATTCAATTAAAGTTATGAAACTTTAATTAAAGGTCTCATATGACCTAGAAATTCAAAAGGGATTTGACCATATGGAGTTAGACATATATGTGGCACATTATAGGATTAATGTGTTAGACCAAGATAGCAAAATATGACACACAAAGGAGGTGTGTGGCTATACTAGGGTTTGGGGGCATTTTTGTCACTCTTGTGACATTTTTGATCCTATAAGTTTGTGGCTATGGAATCCTATCATCCTAGGGTTTCCAAGTTGGTGAAATTAGAAGAGAGAAAACATCAAGCTCTCTCTCCCTAACCCCTTCAATCTATCACATCAAGTGAAGGTGCTAGCACCACTGTTCACTTCTTGTCTACTTAGTCTCTCATCCCATTCAATCCTTTGTGAAGAGCTTTGGGGAGGTGCATATCTTTGTACCTATTTGGATAGCTACAAGGCAGAGAATCAACATCAAAGGAAGAGCCAACAACAAAAGGACCACTCCCTCTACTTGAACACCATTCTTGGTTTCAAGATTCGCTCCAATGGTATGAACATCTTATCTTTCTCTCAAATAGGATTTAGAAAGTCTTTGGTGTACACTTTCATAGACTTACAAATATTACACATGATTCTTGTGGGTTATTTTATTTCAAGTATCATGCATATTTGATTTATGAGAGGGTTGTAATGGATATGAGAAAATAGAAAACCATTTGATCTTCTTGATTATTTGAATAAACTTTGATTTTTGAATAGATTTCTCTACTTTCTATTGATTTTTATTGAGTTTCATTCATGCTTCTCATTTGTTTTTTTTAAAGAAAAATAAATGGCAGTGGGTTAGTTCTAGGACTCACTAATCTGCAATAATAGAGAGAATGTGTTTGTAAAAATTTAGGTGGTTTACTTATTGTTGTTAAGGTAACAAATATAACTGTTTGAATTGGTTATGGAATGCAGAAAAATGGCCTAAATAATCCTTCTAAGTCTGCAAGGAGTATTTTTTATTTTCAAAACCATAATGCACACAACCAAACGATAAGTTAGTTAACATTTGTATGTTATAAAGTGAAAGTAGATGATTTTGTGAGCTTAAACAATTTCAGCATAAAGAAAGTAAGCCAAGTACATATTACTATAAAAGAGAATCTAGAACACCTTAAATAAATGTAATTGTTAGTTATGGTAAACAAATTTAAAAAAAATGTCACTTTCCTTCCAAGTCTTTGAAGCAATATGTTTTTATGTTCTTTATCACCTTCTTTTGAGTCTCTGAAACTTTTAGTTGGATTGTCATACACTTGTCATAGGGTTGATCAGAATTTTTTCTCATGGTGTTGATTTATCCTTGTTTTTTTGTTTGCATGTTTATCTCTTCTTGATCAATCTTCTTATATAATTTGGATGAGTGAATTGTATGTATGTGTCATAGTCCTAGAAACCGTCGTGTTATACAAAACGTTTTTCTGGTGGAATGTTTAAGCTAGCCTATTGTCATTACTTCCGTATTTCAGGATTGAGAAAGGGTTGCTTTATGCATTGGATCTTAGAACAAACTAAGTGTACTGAAGGTGCAATTTGGGGGGGGGGGGGGGGGGGGGGGGGGATGATTTTTATGT